GAAAAGCCTGTGCAACTACTTTCTTCTATACACTCAAGCACAAGGAGGTGATACAATAACCTACTGGACAATCTCTTCTATACACTCAAGCACAAGGAGGTGATACAATAACCTACTGGACAATCTCTTCTATACACTCAAGCACAAGGAGGTGATACAATAACCTACTGGACAATCTCTTCTATACACTCAAGCACAAGGAGGTGATACAATAACCTACTGGACAATCTCTTCTATACACTCAAGCACAAGGAGGTGATACAATAACCTACTGGACAATCTCTTCTCTTTTCCTCAAGGATACAAATAAGCTTGCCCCTGCTGTCATTACTCTTGACAAAGAAGCAGACATGGATCACTTACAGTCACCAAGCAAAGGAGCAGTTTCAGACATAAACTCTTCAGACTTTCAGAACCTTCTGCACAGAGCAACGAGTCCAAACTCTCCATTAAATTCTGAGAAAAGAATTGTTAAGCATTAAACCGTATCAAATAACATCTACACCCCAACTTTATCATCTCTGAGTTATGTTACATAGGATAATGTGAATACAGTGAACCAATCACGTCATTTCCCTAGGCTCAAGCCTTCCAAAATTAGACGAAGAAAAGGAAGACTTCAAAGTCTAGTGCTTTTGGGGAAAATGCGTTAGAATAATGGCACAGAACAAAATATTCACTACTTTACCAAAAGACTGTTTAACCCTATCATCTACATATAAATTTACAGATTAAAATGAGGTAATTTGGGGGCTGACAGGTGGCGTGATGGTTAAGGGCGACAGACTCCCACAAGGCTGACTGCAGTCCAGAACTTTCTCTCTGTCCCTCTCTGTCAAATTGGGAAGGGAAGGGGAGGGGGAGGAAAAGAGAGAGAGGGGAAGGAAAGAGAAAGGAAGGAAAGAGAAAGTGAGAAAGAAAGAAAAAAATAATTCTTATAACAAAACAATGAAGTAATTTTAAAATGGGGGGGAGGCAGCAACAGGTAGCATGGTGGTTAAGGTGTTGGATTCCCATATGGCCAACCACAGGTCGAGTCCCAGACTGGGCAGCTTGAAAATCACACCAGGCAAGTGTGTGTGCATGCCCAAAATCCCAAGAGGAGAATGGAGGAAAAGGGATTACAGGCCATCTGCCCTGAGAGGTGATTTCTCACTTCATCTCTCTGGGAGGTGCATGTGCCTATGGCAAAAACCTTAAAAAAATTTTTTAAATAGAATGGGAGGGGAGAGCAGGCAGAGGCACAGTGGTAAAACGCAATGCTCTGAGGCTGACCCACATGGGAAGATTCTGGATTCACATCCACAGACCTCCCTGTGTACACTGGGCTTGCACATGCCCATGATCCAGAGTTGGCTGAGGCAGGAGTGGATAGCAACATCAAAACCCTGCTGGGATGCTGATTCTCCCTCTCTCTCCTCTCTCTCATTTACAGAAGAAATAAATAAGAACTTTTTTTTAATAATTATTTTATTTAACCTCATTTATTTATTTGCTTATTTCAATTTGACCAACAAGGGACAGAGTGTGTGTGTGTGAGAGAGAGAGAGAGAGAGTGAGCACAAGCTGCCAGGTCCAAGATTCAAACCATGGTCGGCTATGTGGGAATCCAGCATCCCCAACCACCACGCCACTTGCCGACCCCAAGAACATTTTTTTTTAAAAGAAAAAAAAAGGATCAGCCCACAGCCTAGTGGTCAAGGAAGCTGGATTCCACATGGTGAATGCCCAGTTTGAATCCCAGCCCTAGCAACTTGATAAACATGCTGGGCACACGTATGTGCATGACCCAGATCCCAACAAGGTAGAGAAACAGAAGGAATCGCAGCATACCCATGCTCTACTGAGGGATGCTTTCTCTCTGTCTCCCTCTCCGTTCTCTGTCTCTCTCTGGTCAATGCATGTGCCCTCTGGCATAGGCAGACAGACACATAAATAGAGAGGTAAATGTACATATATACATATAAAATATAAATACATATATATAAGATATAAATACATACACATATATATGTATGTACACACACACACACACATATATATATATAAATTAGTTAAGAAGAAGTAAATTTTAAAAGAGGAGACTATACAGTGATGCAGTGATAAAATGCAATGCTCTGTGAGGCTGACCTACATGAGAAGATTCCAGAGTCCCATGATTCCCAAAGATTTCCCTGTGTACACTGAGCATACACAGGCCCATGGCCCAGAGTTAGCTGAAGCAGGGGTGGGTCATAGCAGCAAGACCTTGATGGGATGCTTTCTCTCTCTCTCTCTCTCTCTCTCTCTCTCATGTATGCATGCATGCTTATGGGAGAAATAATTAAAAAAAAAAATAGAAAAAGAAAAAGAATGACGGGCTCCATGGCCCAGTGGTAAAGTAAGCCAGATCCCACATGGCCAACAGCAGAGTTGAAATCCTGGCCCTGGCAGTGTGAAACACATGCCCCAAATCCCAACAGGATGGAGAAATGAATGAGAAGCAACTGTGGCATGAGCATGGCCCGCTGCAAGGGTGCTTTCGCCCTCTCCCTCCCTCTCTCTTTCTCTGCCTCTCTCTGATAAGTATACATACACTCTCATGAAAACACGGAAGGGAGAAAGGGGAAGAAAAAGAGAACAAGGAAAGGAAAGAAGGAAGGAAATAATAGTTAAAAAGCTGTATGTAAGTTTTGTTTTTTGATAAAGAAAGCATAGTCCTCGTTGGTTTCCCTCCCTCAGGCTTACCATCTTTAATCTGCCGTTGATTGATACAGGTACGCTGAACAGATGACAGACATCACTCCTGGTCCTCACTGGTCATACGCACTATCTAACAAACTGAGCTTATGTCCACCCTGGTCACCTCCATTTCCAATGTGATTGCAATTTATCACTTTCACTAAAAATTAGTTGACAAACCCAAACTAATCAAAAGATGAAACACTTATATACTACAATAAAGGGAAGAAGGAAAAAAAGTTCCACATTTCACAAAGGAGAATGTATGGAGAGTAAGAATTTAGCATGCTGGAAAACCATGCTTCAAGTTCAAAATAAGCTACTTCAGTTCAAGTCAATATGTTAGCACTTATCCTATACTAAATGTTGTGCTTTCAAAAAATAAAACTGTGACTCTTGTTCTCAAGATGCTTTTAGTCTATGGAGGGAGAAGGAGATGGTGAACACTTTCTTTTTTTTCAAGAGAGACTTTGGGAACCCCGGTCAAAATGTCTAAGATTTAGGGAACCAGCAGTTAGTGTAATGGCTATGTCGCTGGACTCCCACGTAGTCGACCGCGGTTCGTGTCCCGGACCCAGTGGCTTAAAACTCACGCCGGGCGCGTGTGCGTGCGTGCCCAAGATCCCGAGAGGAGAATGGAGGAGAGGGGATTGCGGCGTGACCATCCCCCCTGGGGGGTGATTTCTCGCTTTCTGTCTCTATGTCTCTCTCTGTCTGTCTGGCGAGCGCACGCGCCCTACAGTGAAAATCTCTCCAAAAAAAACCAGTCAAAATGTCTAAGATTAAAAAACAAAAAATGGTAAGTGTTGGCAGGGGTGTGGTGAAAGGGGAACTCTTTTACACTGCTGGTGGGAATGTAAATTGGTTCAATCACTGTGGAGAATAATTTGAGGAGTCCTCACAAATCTACAAATAGATCTACCATATGATCCAGCAATCCCATTCCTTGGTAACTACCCAAAGGACAGAATTCTTCATTGGAAAAGTGCTTGCTCATCGATGTTTATTGCGGCACTATTCACAATTGCAAAATCATTGAACCAACCCAAATGCCCCCATATGGAGGAATGGACTGAAAAACTGTGGCACATATACTCTATGGAATACTACTCAGCCATAAAAACTAACAAAACCCTGGCTTTTGACAGAAAGTGGAAAAATATGGAAGATTTACTGCTGAGTGAGGCAAGCCAGGCTATGAAGGAGAGACATTGTATGTCCCCACTTAACATATACCAAATGTCT